CCCCAAAACCCCAAAACCCCAAAACCCCAAAACCCCAAAACCCCAAAACCCCAAAACCCCAAATAACACAAAACATTTTGAATTAAATTTAAAATAAAACCTAAAAATGAACTTTAAGGCTTTCAGAGCAAGAGTCAATACCAGCACTGGAGTACAGAGCTCACTCTCCAGCAACTTTCCAAAGTAAGCTAATCCATATATAATTTCTACTGCAAAAGAATGCCAGCTGAAACACTTAATTAAATAGAGAAGGAGAGACATTGAATATCAAAATAAATTCGTCCTCTGGCCCAAGCTTTCATCAGGAAAAACCAAAACGGAAGCCTGATGCTCCCCATTCCAAGTAAAAAATAGCATAATCTCTCATTTAGGCCACCAGCAAAGGCTGAAGAGCCAGAATCTAAAATCAAAAAAGCAATGAGGCTAAACTAAGAGAAGGAAAGCACCTAAAAGCAAGGAGAATACCAGGTATGCCAAGTGACTATCAACCTGACTGTTTCGCCTAGGATGAGAATCAATCTGAAGAATAACCAAGTTCCAAGGATCTATCCTTCAGCTGGAAAACTTATCGGGAGAACATGCCAAACAGCTTTTGTAAGATATACAAGCGAGCTGGGTTCAGAATATTTGAAAGTATATCAAGAAAAGCAAAAGAAGAAACTTCAAATGGATAAAAGCATGATATATAAGCAACATATCCCTCTTGATCAATTTAATGAAAAGATTTCGGGTTTTAACTGTACTATTCCAACTCTATGGATGGCTAATAGGTTAAAATCTGCAAATTCATCATTATTCCTACTTTCAGATGAAGATTTAAGTGATAGAAGTGGGAGAAATATACATCATGGTAAAATCTTGAGCAAGATTTGTGAGAAGACTCGCAAAAAGGGTATAAAAAGACGTACAATTAATAACAAATCTCGAGAGCAACCAAGGCTAAGCTCTAACATTAATATAACTAATGAAGGTTCTTTCATGTCGAACATAAACCTAAAATCTATCAAAAACATCCATCAGCCTGTAATATCTCCTCTTATTCATAGCCTGAGAAAATCTTAAAATCGCGAAAATTTAGTTTCCGAAAACTTGACGATCAACCTACCCCAAGTATCCTCCATTATCACCCATAGTCGACCCAAAACACCCTCCTCCACTCCAAAATATCTTATTCGAAGACAAAGAAATCCCTATAAAAATCCGAACAAGCAAATAACTTCATCTCTATCAAAAACCTCACCCAAGAAATGACCCAAAACCTCTCCCAAAAGCCCCATCGTCAGACCACAGCCCTCCCAAAACACCGCAACAACATCCACAAACGCTTCGAGATCTTCCGCCACATGCTTGCTCGCAGCCAATCAAGCCACTCAACCTACAACAAAATCTGGATTCCCCGCACAGAACTCCGCAAGCACCCTCGAGTCCCCCACCTAATGTCCAATCCCCGCCTAGACCTCAACATCGAAGGTAACTTCCCACCTAAAATCTCAGAAGAGAACAAGGAGAGTCTAGTCAAAGGCAAGAATATCGTCCTTGAAGATAAAATTGAGATGATTTTCAGGCAAGCTTATGGCACACAGACTGAAGAGAGTCAGGAAGGTGAGTGGTTTTGGGGTGATGTGTAGAGGTGAAGGAAGGGGTAGAGGAGAATATTGAGATTAGTGCAGATGGAGTGAGGGAAAGTAATTATGGAGAGATGGAGAGGGGAAATATTAGGAAGCATGGTAAGGAGGGGGTTTTGATGGAGGAATTAGGAGAGAGGGTTAAATTTGAGAAGATATTAGACTTATGGGGTTTAGTTTGTTGGATGCGGTTAATTTCTTTAAAGATAAGGATATTAAAATCAAAAACACAATTAAGACACATTCAAACAAAGAAGTCCTGATCAACAAAAACAGTCGGTTAATTAAAAAGCTAACCAAAGAAATTCCGATGTCTCCTTCTTCAAATATTTATTCCAAAAGAACAAGTCAAATAGTTTCCAGGAGAAACTCAAAAGAGCAAAACCTTGATATACAAGCTGTTAAAAATCCGATTACACCTCCTTCTGATGTTATTCCTCCACAAGCTCAATCACAACCAGAGCCTGATATCGTAACTCAGGATCAAAGCAAGTCTATGATAAAGACTTTCGTGGCAAATGTGCCTGTAAAAGATATCACATTTGAAAGAGAACCTACCGAAAAGCCTACCTTCTTCGAGACTTCGGTTGATGTTCCCAGTCATCTCAAGACTTCTGCATTATATATCAAGAGAGGAAGAGATCCTGATGGTCCTAAAGGAGAACCTAAAGGAGACTGAAATCAGGAGAATCTAGGTAAGTTCTCATACTATGATCCCCAAAATTTTTATCACCCTAACACTTTTCTAGGACTTAATACGAGATTTAATAAACAACTAACAGCTGATCTTAAGAATTTCAACATGAATCCCATGGGAAGAAAAGAAGTATACCAAATTGGTGAGCATCTGGATGAATACGACACAGACTCATCAAAAGAAATCCCGAGAGACTCTAATGCTTCTGCTCCTTCCTACATGAAGATAACAGGTAAACCCAATCTCCAATCTCCCATAACAAATTCCCTTAATCTCCAATTGTTATGCTTTAAAATCCTCTTCCCACTAATCTTAACTAATTTCTTTTCGAATTCTTTAAACTTTTATCTCATTTAAAAAAATTCCTAAACTACAAAATCTCAAAAAATCCCAAAACCAGAACTTTCTTCACGATCTTCCCTAAATTTGTTCACACAAAAATTCCAAAATTTCATTCTGAATATTCTTCAAAATTCAATTTTGAACTGATTTTAGAATACTTGACTATTTTAAAAGAAAATTTTGGTTCGCAAGGATTTATTAAGAAGATAATATTTGTGAGATTAGAAGAGAATTTAGAAATTTAGGATTAAATAGTACAATTTTTAGTTAAAAGATGAGAAATTTAATGTGATATAGGCAAAGGAAATTATTATAACTACAAAGAATTCATGTCTGATTATTTTGACCATCGAGAACTGATTGCTATGAAGCCATTTGATAGAATAGAGAGGATTAAACAGACCAGAGAGTACTATAAGCCAAAGAGATTTAATTAAACTGAATTTTCAATAATTATGCTTTCGATGGGGTTTTGGGGTTTTGGGGTTTTGGGGTTTTGGGG